TATTTAATTGCTGAGGAACTAAAGATAAGCCAGAAAATCTTTTGGAACCATTTGCACCATTTATTCAAAAAGAAGCTCGATGTTTGGGTGCCACACGAACTAACGCAAAAAAACATGATGGACCGAATTTTCATATGCGAATCGCTGCTGAATCGCAATAAAATCGACCCGTTTCTGAAGCGGATTGTGACTGGCGATGAAAAATGGGTAATTTACGACAACATCGAGCGCAAAGGTCGTAGTGAAAGCTCGGGGAAGCGGCCCAGACGGTGGCCAAGACCGGATTGACGGCCAGGAAGGTTTTGCTGTGTGTTTGGTGGGATTGGAAAGGAATCATCTACTACGAGCTGCTCCCCTATGGCCAAACGCTCAATTCGGCTCTCTACTGCCAACAACTGGACTGCTTGAAGGCAGCACTCATCCAGAAGAGGCCATCTTTGATCAACAGAGGCCGAATTGTGTTCCATCAGGACAACGCCAGGCCACACACGTCTTTGGTGACGCACCAGAAACTCCGGGAGCTCGGTTGGGAGGTCCTAATGCACCCACCTTATAGTCCGGACTTGGCACCAAGTGATTACCATATTTTCCTGTCCATGGCGAACGCGCTTAATGGTGAGAAGTTGGCCTCAAGAGAAGTCTGTGAAAATTGGATCTCCGGGTTTTTTGCCAATAGGGACGTAGCCTTCTACGAGAAGGGTATAATGAAGTTGGCATCTCGTTGGCAACCAGTTTACGAACAAAACGGCTTATATTTGACTTAAATCGGACAAATGTAGACAAGTTATCATCTTTTGAAAAATTAATTCCGAACGAACTTTTTACTTATCCTAATACATGGAGAATTACATATGTAAAAGCTGCTTGGAAAGTTAAAGCCGCACCATGATCCTAAATTGATCAAGAAAGTCTACAGCGACTACTACATAAAATTATTGAAGGATCATTTGAAAATGTGTATTGAAGTTAAAAGAGATTATATTGAACAAAGAAATATATTTCGTACCAAAAACAGTATTTTTCGAGCGCACAAACACTTTTACCATCCTGTATGTATGTAGTTGCTTTAAAAAATGCAACTGAAATGGTTTAATAGTTTCGGTGTGTGTGAAGTTATATGCTGAACAATTAAGGAAGGGTTAAGTTTGGGTGTAACCGAACATTTAAGACCCTTGCAACTTGCAAGCATCAAACCCGGTGCAAAAATAAGAGGTGGTGGCAAAACTTTAAATTTAAAAATGTTGCGAAAGAATTCAACAGTTATTATTCGACGCAATCGTGAATGGATAACAATCAAATTATACATTCTATTACCTTATATTGGTTTTTAGTGGTAAACCACATAATATTCAAGGAAACTTGTCCATTTAATTTCATTAAAATATCTCATATTTTGACCAACCGGTGGTAAGGTTTAAAGTCAGGTGGAAAGCGAAAATAATTAATGTAATATTGAGGGCAGAGAAAGGGACGGGCTGATTGCATTAAGTTGGATATTGCTCAGGTATACTTGAGGTCATATGTTCCAGAAATGTTATAAATATATACATATGTAAGTAACTCACACACTGAAGGACTGAGGTTTGTTAGAAAAACAAAACGGGAGTGGGGGTAATTCAAATATATGGTATAAGGCCAACCGGAAGCTTGAAGATTGTATATTAGATATATGGTGTCTTAGGAATATATTGACTCTTTTTTATAGCCGGATGCTCGAAAATCGTGATATAAGTTATATGGGAGCTAGGGCAAGTTTTTTGAACCGATTTTAGCCATTTTGGGCACAGAGATCCACCGTTATTAGTAAAACACGCTCTCTAGTTTTCACTAAGATACATTTTTGACATAGAAATATACGGTTATGAGCAAAGGATAATCTCCGAATTATATTTATATGTCGGGCGCATCACATTGCATAATTCGATCTGATCTGGTTGAGAAAGAAGTGAGACCATTGGTTGGGGCAAAGTTGCGTACTGCAACTGTAGAATATACCCTAGTTCTCGGAAAGGTAACGTGCGAGATCGTAATTGGAAAGGCAGCCGTGTTACACAATTTTATAGTGGCGGATATCGTTGATGAAGTCATAATTGGAGTAGACTTTCTAGCGAATCAAGGAATCAAAAACTATGGCTAAACAACTTGTGGAGAAGAAAGTTGGCAACATGAGATTTTGTGTGGACTATAGAAGGTTGAATGATGTAACGAAGAAACACAGTTATCCACTACCTAGAATCGATGACACACTGGACTCGATATCAGGCACAAACTGGTTCTCCACACTTAAAAAGTGGTTATTGGCAAGTGGAGGTAAACGAAAAAGACAAAGAAAAGACGGCTTTCAGCGTTGGTGATGGTCTATGGCAATTTACCGTAATGCCCTTTGGATTATGTAACGCTCCTGCTATTTTTGAGAGACTTGTGGATCAAATATTAACCCTATTTGATATACCTCAACGATATCATCGTGTTGGGTAAAAGCTTCGATGAACACCTTAAAAACTTGGAAGAGGTTTTCCAACGGATAGCTAGCGCTGGTCTGAAGCTGAGTCAAAAAAAGTTTTCCCTCTTCAAAAAGGAAGTAAGCTACTTAGGACACAAAGTGACAACGGGGGACATTTGCACAGCTAATGAAAATATCGAGGCGGTAAGAGATTGGTCCGCTCCTAAAAATTTACATGAATTGCGGAGTTTCCTTGGACTATGTACTTATTATGGACGAATCGTTCCAAATTTTGCCAGCGTAGCTAGAACCCTCCATAAACTCACGAAAAAGAACAGAGTTTTGGAATGGAATAACGAACAGGGAGTGGCTTTCCAATGTTAGCATACCCGGTCCCAGGATCAACGTTTATTTTGGATATGGATGTTAGTGGATCTGCAGTAGGAGGCGTTCTATCACAAGTCATTGATGGGCATGGGAAAGTCATTGCGTATTACAGCCAGACCATAAGCAAGCCGGAGAGAAATGATTGTGTTACTCGGAGAGAATTGCTGGCGTTATTGAAGTGCATCAAACATTTTCATAAGTACCTTTATGGCCAGCGATTTCGGGTGAGGACAGATCATGCAGCATTAGAATGGCTTCTACAATTCAGGAACCAAGAAGGACAGTTGTCACGGTGGATTAAGAGACTCCAAAGTTACGACTTATCTATAGAACATCGCAAAGGAAGTAGTCATGGAAATGCTGATGCCATGTCCGACCGTCCCTGTAATCTGGAATGCAGACATTGCTCAAAAGCTGAGGCCAAAGAAGACATTATAGATGTCCGATAAATGACTATAACATCAGACTGGGATCCGGAGAAGCTACGAAAATGTCAGCAAAAGGATCCACATTTGAAAAGTGTAATATACGGATTGAAAATGAATAATCGTCCAACGAGAGAAGAAATAATTGCAGAAAGCCCAGTCGCAAAGGCTTATTGGGCAAAATCGAATAGTTTGAAGTTAGTGTCTGGCTGCTTGCATCGCGAATGGGAAAACGAAGATGGGCAAAGTTCACGAGCTCTGATGATTGTTCCAAAAGTAAGAGTTTCTGAAGTTCTCAACGAGCTGCACAACGGTCCAAGTGAAGGACACATGGATATCAATAAAACATTGGAGAAATTAAAACAAAGATTTTATTGGGTTGGTTGTCGTTAATCAGTTACGGAATGGATCGCCAATTGTGTTGAGTGCATTCCTGCTAAAGGGCCGCGGTCCAGAAGTCATGGTAAAATGAATCAGTACATGTACACCATGTATGTAGCTGATCCATTTCCTATCAGTAAATTAGGAAACAGATATATTTTGGTAGTCATGGACTATTTCAGCAAATGGACAGAGATATACGCAAATCCTAACCATGAGGCAGGAACAGTAGCGGATGTATTAATCAACAATTGGGTATCGAGATATGGTGTTCCAATAGAATTGCATTCTGACCAAGGGAGAAATTTTAAATCAGCTCTAATACAGGAGATACGCCAGAAACTGGGTATCCGGAAAACTCATACAACTGTACTACATCCGCAGTCCGATGGCATGGTAGAACGATTCAATCGAACTTTGGAAGAACATTTAAAGAAAGTTGTGGACAAGTATTAAAAAGATTGGGTCACCCCTATATCCTTGTTCCTGATGGCTTATCGGTCTGCTGTACTTGAAACAACGGGGCAGACTCCAGCAAGGGTAATTTTTGGTAAAGATCTTCGACTACCGATTGATTTAAAATTTGGAATTAACGCCAACGGAGGAAGGAATACTAAGAAATTCAAAAGCATCCTATAAGACGAGATGATGGATATACATGCTATAGTGAGACAACGCACCAAAATTATGATACGACAAGGCAATAAACTCTGAGGGTTTTATTGAAGGCGATTGGGTATTGTTATATAACCCACAACAAAAGAAAGGGTTATCTCCCAAATCACAGTGTAATGGGGACGATCAGACATAGGTAGAGGGCAAATACCAGAACAAATTAGAATCGACGATAAACTGCCAGAAGCAACTACACAGCGAATTCGTAGTTGCCAGAATGTTCTAGTAGCGAACCTTTGTTAAAAATTTACTATATAAGGGCTGCCGGACTGTGCAGCAGACACAGTTCTAATTAGAGTTTTGCCGTGTAAAAAGCAATTAAGCTATAAGCAATAAGTTGTAAACACGAATATCGAGCAATAACTTTTAAGTGTTGGCATTAGAAAGAAAGAAAGAAAGTGTATAGCCATTTAATTGGTACTTTAATTTAATAATCCAGTGATCGAACTCAAGAGTGAGTTAGAGGTAGACGATTTATCGAGAAATCCGTTACAGTATTCATAGTCGATGATTTACCGAGTGACAACATACTGTGACGAACATAGATGATAGAACCAAATCGAATGAACGATAAACTGCCAGAAGCAACTAGTTAGCGAATTCGTAGTTGCCAGAATGTTCTAGAAGCAATGTTTTATTACAGATTTACTATATAAGGGCTGCCGGATTGTGCAGCAAACACAGTTCTAGTTAAAGTGTTATCGTGATAAGAGCAATTAAACTATAAGCGAGAAGTTGTAAGCTCGAATAACGAGCAATAAGTGTTAAGCTGTTGGAATTAGAAATAAAAATAAGTGTGTAGCCATTAAATTGGGACTTTTATTTAACAATCCAGTGATCGAACTCAAGAGTGAGTTACAGGTAGACGATATATCGAGAAATCCGTTACAATACCTTAATTACAATAGTCGGTAATCGACCAGTGGTCGCTTATCTACTCTTATTAGACATTCGTAATAGGGGCTTTAGTTTTTCTTAAATATTGCTCAATTTCAGTCTTTCTAGAATAAATAACGGGTTGTATTAATAAAAACAAGCTATTATTTAGAATAAAATCTCGCAGCAAAGTAAAAGTATTCAGTATTTGCTATGAATTTGTATGAATAAAAATTAAGCTTTGTTGAGTAAGTTTAAAAACTTGACTGAGTATTTTCTTTACATTTGAAGTTATTTGGCAAGTAAACAAATTTTTTCTTCAATTTTGAAATAGTTGAATCTTATCAAAAATCAGTTAAAACTTGAAGAGGATGGATCAAGTTTTGGAAGAATATTCTCTGTTCAAAGCAGAGGTGGAGTTTCTTCACGGTAACTTTTGTGCTATTTTTTTTTTGTGTACATATGTAAAAGTAGAATTATTTTTATGTTTGTTAAAGAAGAGTGGAACCGTGATGTCAGTACTCAATCTGGATCAAATACAGATTCAAAACTAGCATCTCCACGTAGGGAAGTGAGCGATATTAAATTTGCTCAAGCTTTGGAGTCCGTCGGCAAAGTTTTACTGACGAAATCTCAAGCTCTATATATTAATATCAGAAACAACCAATCCAGATAAAAAAAATAGTTGCTAACCTGAAGCAGGGTCTGAAGGCAAAAGCAGATTTAAAAAGCAGGTAATCTACCGCTTCATTTAAAATATTCTAAGAAACTATTTCTTGATTTACTACATGCTAAAGATAACCTAAGGATTACACCATTAAAATACAAGTATAAAATTGCGCGATAATATTATATTAAATTTATTAAAGGTATAAATGTCGGTTAATATGGTTTTGAAATAAGTCTTTCTGAACCAAAATATTCCAAAAAGTCATCTGATGTTAACGCTAGCATATTATCCGAAGACGTATCAGATACTCCAGAAACATCGACAGCATCTACTAAGAATGAACGCACCTGCCTTTAAACAATAATGGTGAAACTTTTAAAATTTATGAAAAATATTGAACATTTATACATACTTATCCTTTAATAATCGAATTGATAGAATAATTTGGATAACATCACGTTGCAGTACTCCGTTTTACAAAATTAAATGGAACTTTTAAATATGCAGAACAGGATGCTTATTGCACAAAAGTAGAGCTTGATAAGAAAATGCAGTTGTACGAAATAAAGGACAATAAAGGTTTTGGAAGCTTAACTGTTACCGCTTAAAAAATAAAATTAACGAATTTGGGTAAAAATTAATAACAGCTATCTCCTCTTATGCAATTAAAGAGAATTGTATTAAACACAAGATACAAATTGTTTTAATTGGATCACTTTGTAAATAGTTAGCAATACCTCTTCTACGTTTTTGCGATTTTAATTAGATTTATTGGTTGTATCTATTTCGGGCACTCTAAACTCTTCACTATTTTCAACGGGGATAAAGGGATATCTAACTTATTCCAGTGTGAGAGCGTTTAAGCGTTTTTTATATCATTTTGCATTTTAGCCAGATCAGTGAAAATAACAATTGTTGCGTATTTAAATTAAAACACCCAACATTTATAAAAATTAAAATTTATTATATATATATATCGATTTAAGACATATAGAAACTATTTAAAGCTTTTTTTTGTGATTTTGTGATAAAACAAATGATTTTTGGATATTCAATGCTTAATCAAAAGAATAAATGTATTAGCTCTTAATTAATAAATGTTTTTATAATTTTCAATTGAAAATTAATACTACTTAGCATGGGATTACAAAAGATTTCATCACAAACATTTCAATTCTGGGTTTTCTTTAATTTTTGTTATTTTAGAATTTTTGTTAGTGATCTCAACACGGCAAGTGTTCACATATTTTTTTGGCAGAATTTCAATCTCGCCGTCCCTCCTTTTCCAATTGCTAAACGTCAGACCTCCTGAACTTTGACAGTTGCCTGAGTACAGGAGGTTTTGATGTATGGCATTTGCTCTCTCATTTTCAGTAAAGGATGAATTGGGTATCTCTTTATCTCTGGTTTTCAATATCTTTTAACGGCTTAAAATCAGCGTATTTCAAAATTTTAGCAACGTTGTAAAGTACGAAATAAGCGACAATTATAGAAGGAACTCGTGGCCATGCGAATTTTCGACTGCGAAATCGGAAGCCTATGTTTTAATTGACCAAACAGTGCTTTTTCGTATGTATTCTGTTGTATATTATTTCGATTGGTGTCAGAGGGTTACGATACGGTGTTATCCATGGTGTTAAAGGGTATCCTTCATCTCCAAAAAGAATGGCGCCTACATGATTTTCATCCAACAAGCTTGAATATTTGAATTTCGCCAAAAGCGAGCATCGAGTACAAAGCCAGGCCATTTACAGTAAACACTTGTGAATGTTGCTTGGACGTCAAATGACAAAATATTTTTGCGATTAATATATTCATCGCTATGTAACCTGTAATTTTTACTAAAATATTAATGCAATCGATTGCACGAATTACACAAGGAAATGTGAAAGGCTTTTGCCATAGTTTTTTGCGCATTCCATTTCTTCTGGATCAGAAGGAAACTTAATCCGTTCAGACACTTTGTCGAGAGCTCCACCGCGTCTTTCCTAATATGTAAGCAAGAAATGTTCTGCCAAAAAATTCAAATTGTGGCGTATAAGCCGATATAATTGCTTAAAATTTCTATCGCCTCCAATATTTATCCTAATTTGTAATGCTTTCCTTCTCGTGCTTCGTTTATTGCCACTAGCGGGAGTATTATTTCAAAATTAAATTTTTATTGGTGTTAGGTCGTAAATCTAATTGAATTTAATTAAAAGAAATATACATATATTAACAAAATGTTCTGAGTTAGCTATACAGCAGACTCTGAATTCTTCCAGATAATACTCACATTAAGGCCTTTTATTCATACAAATCTACGCAAATCTCGCTTTTGAATATAGCATTTGCTCAAATAAGTTTTCTATCATATGAAACTAAGCAAATATTCAAAATCTTAGAAATTGCTTGAATTTGGAACAAACAAATTTTTCTAATACGAGTATTAAGTGCATGCAAAATTATAAAATTAGAAATTACAACAAATTTTCCATATTACTTTTTAGGGTTCCCGTTTGACAGATTTGACTTTATATATGGGTAGAAAGTCGAGGAATATATATACAAGGTGCGTTCCAAAGTGAACAGGACTTTTAAAAACAAGACAGAACACATGGTTTTATCGGCAAAATCAATTAATTTTATTCAAAAAAGTCTCCTTCTAGCTTTTTGCACGGTCCAAAAGTATGTCGAACGAGTGTTTTAGCTCGTTGCCCGGTATGGCCGCCAGTATGCCGGTGCAAGCCTTTTGAATGGCCTCCACGTCTGCATAACGCTTTTCTTTCATCGGCAAATGCATTTTTCCGAAAAGGTAGAAGTCGCACGGTGCCATATCAGGTGAATACGCGGAGTGGTTGATTGTTAAAATGTGATTTTTGGTCAAATAATCGGCCACAAGCGTCGATCAATGAGACGGCGCATTATCGTGCAACCAACGCAAACTTCCATTTTCGCGATATTCGGGCCGAACACGTCGAATACGGCGCACCAAACGCTTCAAAACTCCAAGGTAGAATACCGCATTAACGTTTTGGCTGTGTGGAACAAATTCTTTGTGAACAATACCCTTGGAATCATAAAAACAAATCAGCATTGTCTTCACTTTTGACTTCTTCAGGCGCGATTTTTTGGGTTTCGACTCATTTCTCATTTATGCCCTCACGACCACTTTGAACGTTGAAACCACTCGTGCACTCTGCTACGGGATAGGCAATCATCGCCATAAACTTGTTTCGGCAATTGAAACGTTTCGGTAAAAGTTTTACCAATTTTAAAACAAAATTTAATTTTGGCTCTTTGTTCGAAGCTCATTTTCGCACCGATGACAAAAACATACTAACTTTGGAACGCACCTTGTATGTGTTGTTAAATTTAAATAATTTCAACTTTAATTTTATCTAAGTTTATCAAAACTTTATGAACACATCTATAAACTTGTTTATAACAAAAAATAAACTTAGATTTTCTCATTCGTTTATTTCTGAGGGCATGGTTAGTCGGTTTTCGTATTCATGTCTCTATCATTATTGAGTGTGGGTAATTTTTAAACATCAATAATTTGAAAACTTAAAATTTTATTAAAATTTTCGTAAAAAGTACTTTTTCGAACTTTGTCAAAATATTGGCAGCCACATGATATCTTACTCGCTCTTCTATACAATGGTCTAAACGCCCTGTAACAATGTGTTTATTATAACATTGTTGGATTGGTGAAAGTGAGAATAATTACTTGAAAGATTGATTAATGAGAGAGGTGGCAGCTCTTTGTTTTGTTTTTCTTTATTACCTACGGTTTTTAAATGTATAGGGTTTGGTGTAATACTTAAAGAATTTATGTAAAAGTGCTGAAATTTGTGGTCCAGTAATTTTGTTTGCATACTAATAATATGTATTGGTGAATTACGAACATTGGACAATAAAATTATATAGCAACTACAACCATGAAGGTTGATACAAGTAAAATGAAAAAAAGTTCGTCTGAGCTTACGCCAGAATGCAGATTGCTCATTGATCAATTAACCAAATGTCGAAGTAAAGTGGATATTTCCCGGTTTCTTGAAACAATAAATATTTGGACGTATGGAAAGTGTGAACTCTACCACTGGACTCATATTTTGGATCGTTTTGACAAAATTTTAGAGGAAGGTGCTAGGCAGGTGGATGACAATGAGTTCATGTTATATTGCGATCTAAAATTTTCCAAAGAGGTATTTGTTTTAAAAATGTTTGCATTACAGAAGGGGAAGCTTATTTAATATTTTGGGAAAACTTTAGTTTAGCATCCCACTATTTCAGGGTTAAGAGGGGTATGGTTGGATAGAGGAGATTCTCCTGATCTCGAATATATATAATTATTGCCGCCGGAAACTTATAGTTTTCGAGATATTTGGGTTTAAAGTTCAAAATATCGACTATATAAAGTACGCATTTTTCCCATTTCGAATGAGTTATACACTTATATTTTCCACTTTTATATCCACTAACACTTCACTAATTCGTTTGTACACATTTATTTTACATTATATAGTGCAAAAATAGTTTAATTCAATAATTAAATTATTGTTAAATTTTATTAATTCTGACAATAACAAAAGGGTTGCAAAATTTCAAATAACCAGTGTTACCTTATCGACATCTTTTGTAATTGAACTGAAAGAAATTAAAACAGATAATACCCCAAATACAGGAATCCAAAACCTAGAGAAATAAACTATTACAAAGCATTGATGTTAAGTATTATGTTATACCCTCCATGACAATATTACTTTTTTCTTGTAGAACTTCTTTTTGCGTTGGCGGCCTTCGGCCGCGCTTCAAAACAATAACCCTGGTCGGTCCAACACCGGGGTGTATCAAAATATTTTTCGCGCAGAACTTCTTTTTGCGTTGGCGGCCTTCGGCCGCGCTTTAAAAAAATAACCCTGGTCGGTCCAACACCGGGGTGTATCAAGGTTTTTTTGCGCAGAACTCCTTTTTGCGTTGGCGGCCTTCGGCCGCACTTCAAAAAAAAATAACCCTGGTCGATTCAACACCGGGGTGTATCAAGGTTTTTTTGCGCAGAACTTATTTTTGCGTTGGCGGCCTTCGGCCGCGCTTCAAAAAAAATAACCCTGGTCGATCCAACACCGGGGTGTACCAAAGTTTTTACGCGCAGAAATTCTTTTTGCGTTGTTTCCTTTATCTAGGGTACAATCTCTCTGTTTATTTTATTTTTCTTCGTTTACAAAATATATTAGTATGGCAACATTGATGTTTTGACATTCACAACCATTTTGTTATTGTCAAAATTAATAAAATTGAAGAATGATTTAAATATTGAAATAAAGCTATTTTGCAGCATCTAATATAAAAAAAAATTTCTAAAAACGAATTAGTCAAGTGTTAGTGGATATAAAAGTGAAAAAAATAAGTGTATAATTCATTTTAAATCGCAAAAATACGTACTTTAAATAGTTGAAATTTTCAACTTTAAACGTAAATATCTCGAAAACTATAAGTTTCCCGCGGCTATATCTATATATATTCTTGATCTGGAGGATCTCCTCTATCCGGCCATACCCATTTTATCCACGAAAGCGTGGGACGTTATTCTAAAGCCGACCCTTTATTTTATATTAAATATTTAAGTATTTGTTTTAAATAAGCGTTTAATTTTTACACAATTTTTGTAATATGAACAATAACAAAGGGGTTCCATGTTGTCAGAT